CCCGCAAGTCCTTCCCCGCCCTCGTCGGCTCCGGCGCCTCCATGGCCGCCGGCGTCTTTGGCCCCTGCGGCTTCAGCCTCCCGCACATGCACCCACGCGCCACGGAGCTCTTCGCGATCACGGCTGGCAAGGTGCACACGGAGATGGTTGTCGAGAACGGCGTGCGAGTGGGCAACGCAACGACCGGACGCCGCTTGATCGAGACGGATGTCGGTGCGAACCAGATGACGGTGTTCTATCAGGGTGCGGTGCACTCGCAGTTCAACATGGGCTGTGAGAATGCGACGTTCGTGGCGGGCTTTGGGAGCGAGGACCCCGGAGCTGCGGTCGTTGATCAGGAGGTGTTGGCCTTGGCTGAGGGTACGTTCTTGGCGCCGTTTGGGACTGTGGTTGAGGGGCATGATGTGGACGCCTTTCAGGGGAAGATCTCTCCGAGCATCACCAAGGGCGTCGAGAAGTGCCTGAAGGCGTGTGGGATCAATAAGAGGGCTATTGTGTAGATGCGGACAGGCTGATATGTCGGATTGGTATCAAGCTCCGGGATGAGACATTGCTTGCTTCTTGATTTATTTATCTTACATATTTAGATTACTTTTAGAGTTGCATTTCGGAATCGTTTTCTATATGATTTACGTGTCTTCAGTGATTCGGGGGGCCATATGAAGCACGAACTAAGTCTTGGGATATTTGGTGCGTGGTGATTCAATGGATAATGAATATCGCAGTTATAGCGCAGTTTGCAATCGCGACTGTGGTAAAAGTTCTGTATATTTTGTGGGACTAGAGGATGCATTGGTTATCATGAGTCGATATTATATTACATCACAATCAATATATCACAGAGTTTCAAATGCAGTCTGATAATGTGTATTTAACGATGAAGATATGTAGCCAGATCGACTCTTAAGCAAATGCCATGTTTCGCTAGAAAACAAAACAGGCAGTACGAATATAATCCTAAAATCTTCCGTACTATGCCGTCTCAATATAATATGCTCTTGCAATGGCCTCGTCTCGAGCAAAAATTATGCAGCGAAAAGAGAGATGTTAAAACGCGGCCTCCAGATGCACGGCTGCAATCATCCAATGGATATTAGGCAACGGATCCTCCTGTGATAGGAGCACGCGTCAGAGCCATGACTCCCCACTCGCGGTTTTGGTTCCAAGTGGCGATTGCATTTGCGAAATGACGGTCAAAAAATTGGGTTGAGTTTTGACGGATAGACTCATCCCATGCGGCTAGAGACATCATCAAGATAGAGCCCTGAATATGGTCCTCCGAGTCGATCCAATCCATGTGCTGGCGAGGCTGCAAACCTCTATAAGCAGGGCCGCCACCACTTGCACCTCCGCCTAGATACATACTTGCAGCAGGAGATGGCGTAGGATTTTGATTGAGAGCATTGATGAGCGCCTCACGGTTTTTATTCCAGATGCCGATTAGGACCGTGAGACAGCCATCATAGAATGATAGGGAGCCATCCTCGGCAGATACGTCGCGTGCGTATACCGATACAGCCATAATGCCGCAGTGAATCCAATGATCCAACATACTCTCATCGGGTAGTGGTCTCAGCCCTGAATTCATTGCTTGGTGCACTCTGACCGCATCTGACTGGATAGCTCTGTTGGGGGGATTGTTCGCAAGCTGCTGGGCACCGGCAGATGGCTCGACTGATGGCGCCATGATGAAGAATAGAAAGCTACAGATAGTCAGTAACGATGTAAATATACCGATAGTAGATGTGAACCTACCTGAATTGTACGGTTGGCAGTGAGGTTAAGGTGTGATGTAATGAAAACTGGAGCGATGGCTTCACTGAACTACAGAGAGTTAGTATTAAAATGCGAAGTAAAAATGAGGTTGTAGGCTCACCCGAGATCAACAGTGTGTATGATCTAGCGACAGTGAGGTCGAAGTTCGTTGGCGGTTGCCGATCTGATGCGAACTGTCGTGACGCGCACAACAAACCTTGGGGAGTTAGCATTTAAATACTTAAGGATAAAGAGGTTATAAACTCACTTGAGGTAGCGGTGTTGATGTTTGCTCACTGCCGGAAATAGATAATGAGTAAAATGGAGTTGATGCTCAAGAGGTATATTCAATCAAGAACTTTGAACGTTGGAGAGGAATGAGGTCGCTAAGTTATAAGAAGTCAGAAATGAAGTCCTATTGGGGACAGCTATAAAGAAAGAAGATGGGCGGTCTCAATAGCAAATGTTATGCTGTTGTGCAAAAACTTGGTGTGTCAGTATCAAATCTCGATATGTGCAAATAGCATGTTCGGTGGTAGGCCATTTATCATTCAGAATAAAGTAAAGTTAATATACGCATCACTTCGATTGTGCCACAACAGCGTAGACATAATTGATAGAGCTTTGAGATATGTGCTTGGTTTATACGCTATTTTAATCAGTATCTACAGAAACAAACTTTGCAGTAACCTGGGCAGACACAGTGATTGTCCTTGGTTCCAGCGCCGGCCCATCCATAGTATGACTAGCCATTTTGGCAGCCTGTTGGGCCATCTGGTGTTGTAGTTGTGGCATTTGCTGTTGCTGCATTTGGCCAGCCGGCGGACCCCCAAAAAAGGATGGACGATAAGTAGAGTCGGAGGATGGACCATCTTTGATCTCAACGGCGACGACTTGCCTTCCAACAACCCCAGCATAGTCCTTGGCCTTTTGCACCGCATCCTCGATAGCCTTCACACGGGCCTCGCGCTCGATCTCCATGCGAGTAGGCCCGGTGAGTCGCCATTCCGAGCTAACGATGGACACATAAGGCATATTGGCAAGCTCGTGTGAAATTTCACTGAGAAGTTCAAGGTTGCGAAAGACGACTTCAGCAGTCGACCTTACGACGAACTCCTTCGGTTTGGATTTGATCTCGCGGTAGCTACTGTCTCGTTGGAAGTACGACGATGTGTTCAATGGGGAGACTGTGAACGTAGTGATGCCAGCCAGTGGATGAGGACGTCCATCTTCAGTCTTTGTAGCAAAACTGCGAAACTTTTGGGTGAGCGTTTCAACAGTGCCTTTGACGTTGACAAAGGCTTGAGACTGATCTATACTGGTTGACGAAATGCTGAGGTGAACGACGCCACGTTCAGCCGTTCGGAAGACAGAACCCTTGCCATCAACATATATTTCAAGTTGAGGTGCCATGATTTTGTGCGACAGGCAATATGAAGTAAGTTCTAATGGATGTCAAGGTTGATTGTTGAGATGTTGGATCAAGCAACCTTCGGGGTGGTCAACGAAGTCAAAGCTCAAGGCAACAGGATCATAAGCGAGCAATGGTGTTTCGAACCCATGCCTCTAACGCTCAATATTCATGAAGATAGAAAGCCCAAATATTCATGTTTCACGGTAATACCTAGACTTATAATAACCCGAATTGTTGTGATCTACAAATCTCATATGATGCCTGACGCTGACAGCGACAAGAACCAGGTGATGGCCAAGATGGCCAGTCGACATATCTGGGGCCGTGACTTCGATGGTCCCCAAGACCGCCTTAGATTATGTTGACTTCATTATTACAATTACCCACCATCTAATTGCTATGATATCTGCAATGTGCAGTCTTCGCCATCAGAAATCATCCCCCTCTCAACCCAGACTTCCTGCAGATCATCTCTAATCTTCCCCGCAACGACAAAGCCCCTCTGAGCCACCCTCGAAAGCATGCCCAGAATCGCACCCCTCTGTTCCTTCCCCCCAGCGCGCGACCCTGCCACTCGAAGCGGGAAAAACATCAGCGCCCCTGCAAGCCTTGACGTGTTCAGCGCCGCATCCGTCAACTGCAGTATTGCCGCCACGTGTGCCGCTACCTCGGATTTAGGCAGAATCGGCGCGTTGGGAGGAGCCCAATAAGGGAAATAGTCAAAGTTGCCGGAGAGGAAGATTAGAAGCGCATTATAATATGCGAGAGCGAGGAGAAGCGGAGAGCTGTCGCTAGTAGTGTCTCCCAGAAGCAACAATGCTTGGGCGTGCCACGCATACAAGTCATTTTGTATCGCAAGACCCTCAAAACCCAGAGCAGAAACAGCCGGATCAGTGTACCGTTGTAACTCGGGAATCTGCGAGACAATTTCATAGCCCCTGAAAGATGTTTTAGCTAAGGTTGAGTGAAGAAATGGGGGGTTGAAACGAACCGGAGATTAAACGTGGCACATCGGATCATGAGAGCCAGAATCTCTTCGATTGGGTCCCAGATCCCATCGTTAGGTGCAAGTTGCTTGTGAAAATTCACCCAGGAGTCTTCTGCCAGTATCGTAGCCTCATTATATAGGAGGGCTCTGCTAGCTTCAAGCATGCGGAATATCCCATAGAAGGTTCGCCGCAGAGAGGACATGTTCTTGTCCGGGCTTGACAACCTGAGAATCATGGATGTACCATGGAGTATGTGCTTGACCCATCCATCACCAGATGGGTCCGTAAGTAGCTACGCAGGCTGTTAGGTACTTATTTCAGATTCGGATTTTCAGGACAAACCTCGAAGAGACCGAGGAAGAAGGTGCCCCATAGCACATCATCTCTCTGGGCAGCATCCTTTTCCGATACACTCGCCTGAAGGACGCGAATAGAAGCACGGTACGAACTGAAAGCCACATACTGTGGAGATTCACGTCCCTTTGACACGCTGATCGAGCCTCGGCGACTGGCGTCCAGGGCTCCGATTGCAACAGCGGAGTGGTACAGGAGCGGGGAAGTGCGAACCAGGTACAAAATCTCCGTGTCAAGGCTCTGAAAGCTTGCCGTAAACCGATTTTGCTGGATGAATAGGAGGAAGCAGCCAATAAAGCGTTCTGCAGGATCCCCGTTGGTTGGGATGCCTGACACTATATTAAGTTTGGGGCGACTCAACGCCGTCTGTAGTTTGGTCTCTCCGGAAGTATGCCCTTCCACAAACAGCACTGTGCCTGTACTTTGCTTTGGAGGCAAACATGATTTTCCCGTCTTGATGCAATACTTGCAGGGGAAGCCGCCCTCGCACTATATTTCTCAGTTAACCCATTTCCCGGCATCCATTCAAGAAGTCACCTCCCGACGTAAGGGCAATGACGCGAACGAACCTTAATCTTACGAGCAGAGCACGCACTGCAACGCTTAACCTGCCGACGCTTATCCGCAGGACCAAGTTTCCTTTTCTCAGCCATTGCGTTGGTATCAGGTAAAAGTAATATCGGCACTTGTTTGCCTTCAGGTTCGATCACGAATACACCCCGTTGAAGGCTCGTCCATTGTTCTAAATAGGCAATAATAGGGCGAAAATAATGGGCAGGGACGAGGCATATTATAAAGCTGCAGCCACGTAATTTAAAGTTCCACCTCGCACTGACGCATTTTGTCTTTTGTGTTGAGGCTGAGATTTGAGGATGTCAGTGACACCCCGCTGGTTAGGCCGAATCGGGAAGCAATCGAGCGCGCAAGGCTTGGCGCTCAATTGTGGGACGGGAGATCTTCGGCGCAGCACCCACGACACACAGACAACACGGCCACCACACGCTTCATTGCTTCCTGTTCGGGCAAGTCTGCCTCTCCTTAGTTCTCTTTCTCCCTGTGATTACATTTAACTTTGAATACGCCTCGTAAGCCCAATACAATGAGAAGAGCCATGATTTGTATAAAACCAGCTGGAAGCCCAGTCCATGGAGAAAGAAGCATCAACAACAGATCATTCACTTCGCACACCACCTTCCAGCGAAACAACTTCCATTCTTTACAATGCTCGTCCCTACCGCATCCCTCGGAGGTCTCTTGACGCTCCTCCCGCTCATCTCGTCAATTGCCCATGCGACGACACTTCCAAAACCGCCAGGCCCATTCGATGTCTATTACAACACCGCAAAGATGGTGGACGGGGGCCGAATCGACCCCTTTGACCCAAAAAAGGGCCATCGCGCTGTCATGACCTCGATTTACCTGCCAGTTCG